AGTTATGATTTGAGTTACAATGTAAAAAAACTGAGCCTGAATTAAAACAGGATAATCATGGCATTGTGAGACTGTTACATCAGAAAAGAGTTAATTCAGGGGGGTTGATACTAAGCACAGCTATTGGGTGCAGTGTTAATGCTAAATACTACACAGAAGTCATTTAACTATGTTTACAAGTGAAAAACCACACGAGTGACTTCAGTATCAACTGTACGTGTACTGTCTGTTTGCAGGTGTATTGTGCAGCCACACAGTTCATACTACATGTATGTTAAAATGCATATTATGTCACGTATGTCTGTTCAAACCAACCTGAGATCCAACAGCTGATATACAGTATCTGAGGATAATGCTTTTGGCTTCCTATTTATTCGTAAATTATCAGACTCTTAATGTTTCCGTCATCCTGTTATGTGGATTTCTGTGATGTCACATTAGCAACAAAGCCAGTGTATTCGGGGCGGGGATCAGCCCTACAGTGTTGTGTATCACACGGGAACAAGGATTGTCGTCCTGCCTGCGGTCTGATTCTTGTGGAACTGGTGTGTCAAATGACAACATAGGCAAAATCCTATTTGTAATGTAAATATGTATATAGCACAAGTAAAAGCTCATTAAGAGCATGTGTAATTGAAAATGTCTTCGTTTTAGAATTATTGAAAATTTGCATGACACATTGTTTTGGGTATAGGAGGAAACTAGTTGCATGTTTGGCAAATGACTCCGTTACTTTGGATTTTATGTGGATGTAATTAAGGTGTTTATTTTGTAAAATTATTTTTTTAGATTTAATTGTTTGGTCATAATTGTCTTGTTTGTGGTAGTCATTTTCCTAAGGTGTAATTTTTTTTTACATTTTCACTGGATCACTATCAAAATGAATCAACCTTAAATGCTGTTGAATGTTTGTACTGAAACTAAGTGCCTGCATATTTAATGAGGCTGATTGAACAAAATCAAAAATGTATTGTTTTAAAAAGACATTACTTTTTATAGATTCCCTTTTTAATAGTGTATGTAGTCTGTATAAAATGATTTTTTGAGAAAATGTAATATAATGCCATTGCAATGTAATATATTTTGCTATTTTATTAAAGGTTTTTCTTTCAGCACTACTGTATATTGAAATATTCTCTGCTTGAAAATCTCTGCTGCATTTTAGTTTTAGTTGTTCAATGGTTTTCTATATTACAATTTTGAGGTATTGATAGTGTTGATTTTAAGGATATTTGTCTATTTCCTTTAAATAGGGCGAAAAATCTGAGTACAAGTAAAATGAAAACCTGTAAATTTAAGAGAATCTTTTTCCTCAATTTTGATATGAATTTAATAAATGCATTATGTTCATGGTATGTAGAGTCTGGCTGTCTGGTGATTGTACTTAAAGTTCGATGTTTTGAGTCCATTAAAGTGAAAAAGAAAGCAGGTATTTAAAAGAATCATTCTGTTTCAGGTGTAAGAGAAAACTGGGAGGATGAAAGGCAAGAATTTTATCCACATGTTTAAAACCAGATGGATGTGGTTGATTTCACTCCTTTCATTGCTGTCAAGAAGCAACCGATATTACCAGTCAGATAGTGATTGATTGGTATTCAGCTCAAACAGTGACGTTTGACGTCTCTGCTTTGGAATGCACAGCACACAGTTCTCTACTTAGTGTTTCTTATAGGATGTCTCCACTGAAGTATTTGGAGGTTATATAACTTAATTAAAAGCCCTGGAGAAGCTGGCAGTTTTCCAGGGAGTAAAGAGTGTTTTTGCAGAAACCGTCTCCGCCGCCCATCTGCATCATTATCTGCCTGGGAAAAGCTGAAGCACGTCAAGACTTCTGCCAGGGTAAACATCTGAACAGCTGCATACGAGGACAGCATGTAGAGACAGTATGAAACTGAATCTGTAGGATTGGGAAATGTTTTGAACTCTTCCCAGCTTTGACTGACTGTAGGTAGATTTATGACAGTTCATATTAGCAAAATAAGTGCAGGTGGCCTGAAACATGATGTTCAAGGCTATCAGGACCGGTGTTGAGCCAGCTGACCTATTGTAGCTTTCAAAACACTGTTTTGACTGTTGGACACAGTGAACAGTTGGCACATTTCTTTGTTTTTCTTTCATATCTAACAGTCCTTGAGAAGTTTGAGTGTCCTTGCCAGGCTGTGCTGTGCAGACTATAGGACGGGAACATGCACCGCCCTTACTAAAAAGGGTTTCACGCTAGCCAACAAATATCAGACTGTTATGGTGACTAACCTTAACCTTAGATCTCCATCTTCAGATCTCCAGATTGTTTGTTAACACTAAAGAGTACAGTGAAGTATAATTATTTTCTATGCATCTAAAGAAAAAACCCACTTCATTATAAACACTATAATTCAGAAGTTTTAGGAAACTGGGCATCTGTCCGAGCCATCGTTAGTAGTTGAGTGAATAAATTAATTTCACTAAAAATAACACTGGATATTTTGTCCAGACTGTAAACTGTATGGTTATTTTTCATATCTATATAAAGAACTAATGGTGTAGGTTTTATTTTTTAATAATAGTTTGAACATTCATTTGGATGTCAAATAAATGTAAATTCTGAACACTTTTTGTTGCAGAAGTTTGGGACAGTACATTTATGTGCCAGCAGGGAGCTCTGTTGCACTCAAAGTGTTTCTCTGCTGAACCGTCAAGTTACAGTAGCTTGTGTGACCTCTGCAAAAACATTTCTGCCCCTGTTTGGTCATTTTAATATTAGATGGCTCTTTTCTTTTTAATAAAAACTTTTCACTAGCTATGAGCGAACAATCACTGTCCTCTCTCCAAGGTCCCTTTTCTCTTACTACAAATTCAAGGTCAGAATTATAAAAGCTTACCTAACATTGTGCCAGAGTGGAACTTTGTTAAAAATATTCTCTCCCATTTATTTTTGTCCTTTGTAAGACCGCTTTGTCTGTCTCAACGTAGCACTTTTGTAAGCCATGTTCTAAACCTGTATCTCTGTGTGGAAGAGTACTCAAAGGTGTCCCCGTGGAAATATTAGGCGTCTGGGGAGTTCAGTTGTCTTGGAAGCGGTCTCACTTCAGTCAGGCAGAGAAGGCAGAGAGCACAGGACCAACACCCGGCAGAGAGAAACACAACGTCCTCGCTTCGACCTCAGGTAAACACAGTTGACAAGATCCATTTAAAATGTTAAAACTTGCCTTCGGAGGGATTTGTTTGTGTATGTGTGTAGGATAGGGAGTTCATTACATTGTTTTAGAGGCATCTTTTTTAGTTCAGGTTGGGTTACATACAAGTGAACTAAGAACAACAAGCTAAGTGTGAAAAACAACCATGATATTGTTTTTTTTTATTGAGTTACATAGCTACTAATGTGAGCACTGAAACTCCCTAACTATCTCTGTTAGCATCAGGAGAAAGCATGTATGTGCTAAACTTTCAAAATGAGTAAAAAAGTAAAAAAACCTTCACACAAAGGTGTTTTTTATATTGTCATTCATTATATTTAAGTATCTTTTCATTTGTAGGTGTACCAGTGGCTGACCCACATGGCGGGCCTCGCAGCTCTCTGCCTGCTGTTGGTGTTTCCACTGAGCAGCTCCCAGAGCACCCTCCAGTCTGAGCAGGAGATCAATGCCCATCAGGCCCTCGGAGCACCTCCTCCTCCTCCTCCACCACCACACTTACGTGACCTTCTTAGAAAAGAAGAAACCACTCATTTAAATGCAAAGCGAACATGTAAGTCTAGTTCAAAGAAATGTCAATGTAAGAAAGGCAGCATGTGTCTAAATAACAAAGAAAGAGGAAGCTTATCTCTTCCTCATTTGGAAAGGTTTTGTGTGTGAAAACTCTAACTCTGATGGTCTCTGACTCTGTGTTCGTGCCCCCACAGATGCCCCTGTAGACAAAGATAATGCCAAAGTGGGTCTGTTCATTGCTGCAGCCATGGGAACCTTCGCTCTTATGGCTGCAGTGTACTGTATTTACAACAAGTTCTACACCAAACAACAGTACCTGCACACCCAGCTTAATGATGAATCAGGTAGGTTAATAGATTTTTATTAGACTGCACGGCACTTCTCTAAACGTGTGGGCATAGCTTTTGTAAACCCACATATTTCTACACAGTTCACCACAGACCACAGAGACTGTCAACTGAAAGAAAACTGACAGCTATAACTATAAAAACATCTCTGGGTGGCAAAATGAGACTAAAGATTGTAACAGAAACTGTCTCCACATCAGCAGAGAGAGAGAGAGAGAGAGAGACTTCCATCCAGAGAAAACTGGACTCATCAACATCTGATCTTTTTCTTCTCTCGTCTCCTGGGTATCATTTGTTGTAAAGCATCACCGGCCAGGTTACACTAGTGTGCAATGTGGTACCTGGTAGTGAAGCACTTCCTGTTTGCTGCCATGTGGAGGCACTATTAGATGATGTTGCATCTTTAATAAATACAAAAACAAACAGCAAATGTGTGCATATAGATGTTATACATACAGAAACATGACTGATGTCATGTCACTGTCACTGATGACTGGTGTTTTTTTCTGCCGTTAAGTGCAACTTCACGGTGTCTCTTCCTCAATCCTGTAAACTAATATCTAATTAGAGGAAATATCTATAAGTTTCTTATATCTCTGTCCAGATTTAGCTGACCCCATGGACCCTCCCCCAGTGTTTTTCCACGCCTCCGCTGGCTCCAGTGCAGTAGATGTGCGGAGAGCTGGTTATGGCTCACTCTCGGACACTCCATCCATCATCTCCGTGCCGCCCAGCCTGTCTCCTCCTCCCTCTGCCATGCCCTTCCCTCCTCTCTTCCTCTCCTCTCACTCTCTGAGAACTATATCGGCGAAGGATCTGGAGAAAAGCTGTATGTGATATTGAATGCTTAAGTTGGCAGCGGGAGACTTTTGAATAACAGTCAAGAAGAAGTAGTAGTCATTTAAATATATGCATGTTGTTCTCCATTATCTACACACATCACACAAAGTCTTAATTTTTGCAGGCAAATTCAGCTGAAAATGTTTTCTTATAAAAAAAAGCATCAATTTCAAACCTGAAGAATGGGTTTGCACTTAGGTTTTCTGAACAGCAACATTGGGTGACAGAATATACAGGACAGTGATTTCATTTAACTGCTGTGGTATTTTAGCAGAAGTATCTCATCCACTTGCTACAACTGCCAAACCTGTCACTTACAACTATTAACCATGAACCGCCTGACATATTTCCCTTTCCCTAACCACCACCAAATCTGCCCTAAATATTTGCCTGTGCATCACAACCATGTATGTACTGTAGTCATTTGTACCGTATGTGTGTACAGCTATAATAAACTAGATCTTTCCTGCACCTTATCTAATACCAGTAATCCTGTCAGTAGTCATCCAATATCCTACCAGAAGAAATAAACTGCCCAGAGATTAAAGAAATGTTGTCTTGCTCGTTAATACATTGTATGGTCAATAACTACTAATGCCTCGTAGTTAAGTGAAACTGGATTCTTTTTCTATTACCTTTAATGCCAACAGGTATTACTGATCTATGTTCATTAAGGCACACATACAATCCCAGATTGGTTTTTGTTTTTAGGTTAAAAATGTGGAAGTTGTCAGACAATTTCAGCCAGTGGGTATAAAGAAAAAGTATCTACATATCTTTGATCTGTGTTTGCGCATCTGTAGATAGATGTCAATGTTGTCAAAAATAATGTTTTAGTTGTATTTATACACCTAGTTACAAATTTCATACACATTTATTATTTAACAAAAGAAATATATGTCCAAAATCATTGCGTTATATTTCTGGCTTTCCCTTCCCTCTCACTGGTTTGGATTTGACACGCAGTGACTGTGAGCTTACACAATGAAGAGATACTGAACTAATTTAAATGCTTTTTCATCAAATGTGTATGTCAGTAGCTACAGGCCCTTTTTCACAGCAGCTATTTTAACTTGAGGCACAGGTGTTACCAACAGTGGCTCCATACTGTTTAAGTGTCAGCCATGACATTGAGCCAGCATGCAGATACCAGTAACCTGAAACTGAAGCAGCTAAATGGAACTCAGCCATCTTTCATTTTATTATTTACACGTGTTTTTTCTTCTGTGACATGTAAAGATGTTTTATTGGACTTTATTGCAGACTCAGCTGCTCAGGATTGAAAAAAAAAACGTGTGTGCACCACTTTCCATGCAAGGATAAAAAAGTAAATTAAAGTACTTAAAGCCATGCATGCATTCAGTCAATCTGCACAGTGGTGGGTTGTTCGAAGATGGGGACAGGCACAAACTTATAACTGCAGTGCAAAATGTTTCTGTTAAACTCCACTATGTTCTTGTCAGATGATCACTAATATACAGTAAATATGAGTCATCTATCGTTTGCTTCAATCTGCTTTCCAGAGGAAGTTGCTAATAATTTGCTTTTAATTGTTATTTAGCTTCATAAGTCACATGTCCCAAATCACTGTTTAAAATTATCCAGCAGTTCTCACACATCCATATAAAAGGGTGTTGCAGTAAAGATGCGCTATGGCAGCTCTGCCACTGTTGGAATGAGCTCAGGACGCATAGCTCAGACGACAAAAAAATATGGAACTTATTGTTTTAAAAACGAGATTCTCCTTTTTTCTGACTTACATTACCTTTAACTGTGGATTTATAGTCTTTTTGTAAATATTTTTTAAGAATATCAAATAATTAGCAGTCCAACCCAGAACAGCGTTCCGGGAGCAACCTGCCCCTCCCGTGTTACAAATACCTGGGAACTCTGTTAATATGCTTCGATCGGACACTGTTTACTCCAACTCCCTTCATTCAAGGCTTGTGCGGTCCAAGAATAGCCGCTGCTTGAACAGTCAGTGCTTAAAACGCCGGGCTGCGGGGAAGGAAGTGACATGCTACCTTCCACTCACTACACACACTTGGAGAGATTAGCGCGCAGGCAGCGGTAATCTGGTTTCAGGACCACGGCCAGAGACTCCGTTTGGCCACGAATCGTGTCGAAAGTTTCCTCCAGCGGGCTGCGAAACCTTTACAAACACCAAAGAGTGTCAAGAAGTTCACCTGGACGTTAAGGACTCTGGCAAAGTGGGGCTGACAATGTTTGATCGGTTGATTTTATATAAAGGCAGTTGAAGCAAATTAAATCTGTGCAATCAGTGTCGCTGACTAGGGCAAACTGCGGGTTAAGGAGTCTGGTGATCAAGTAAAATCAAGTTTTTTTGTTTTTTTTATGTGTGAGTAAGAATCACGGGGCGGAGGGAGTAGAGGAGAAGGCTGTGCGCTCTGTCGGGAGCGCGCAAAGACTGCACATTGGTCGGATCCTGGAGTCGTGAGGATGGAGATCCGGCCGGACAGGTTTAAGGTCGCGGCAGCCAAGACTCTCGGGAAAATATACGGGTATGTAAAATCTCTCCGGGACAAATTACAACCAGAAAATGTTGAAACGCTGAAAAAGCGGCGGCGTTCTTGTGTTGATAAGAAAGTTCATCTTTTGCTATTAAATTAGGCTACTGGAGGACAGCCCATAATTGATGAAACATGATTTCATTTAAGTATTTGTCTTTAAAAAAAAAATCAAAGTGCCCATTTGAAGATCAAGCAGTCCAGAGGCCTGGATTAGTGTGAGGTTGGATGACCTGGCACAACATCTGTCCCTATATTGGCTACTGAGTCTGTCACATAAGAAACTGCAGACTTCATTTGTCACTTTATAAGAAACCGCACTTTTGCAATAACTGATCAAAAAAGTTACAATTATTTTTTCTGATCACACAAATGTTCTAAAACCTAAAATGAGTTTACCAAATCCTCCCATGCAATGATAAGTGAACACCAGCCTTTGCTTCTGAGGAACAAATAAACAGAATTAAATTTCAGGCCGAAAACTGTTCTATCAGTGTAAGATGAAGCGGTGGGTCGATGGCTGGATTCATTTCATTCAGGGGGTTTTTCTGCAGTGCTGTCACATTGTCATTGTCACAGTCTTATATACCTGGAGTTTTGTGACCAAGCAATCAAACGATGTGTTTTTCATTTCACAGTATGTTTGATGTGGTTGTCTATTTATTCCTCCAAACTCACCGAGAATCAGTGTTTGGTGTAAGACAGGCCCCTGAGAGCGCTCTACGGCCTGTGGTTCTGGCACACCTGTCAATATGGGACAGTAAGCTTAGGGAGACTTTTGAAAAGCGTGATGGTGGGCTGGGGAAGTGGATCAAGGTCGGAACATGGTAGAAAATCTGATCTTTTTAGACACCATGTGGCATTTTAGACCCACAAGACACCTCCGCAAATAATTCAAATGTGAGTTTTAGATTACTTCCACCAACAGGGCCTCATGGAAATACGCTGCAAAAGCAAATATATAAATAAATAAAAAATGCGTGGCACACCTTCCCTGCCAGGAAAGAGTGTGAGATAGTCGGGAGTCTGTCTAGTGATGGATATCTGAACGCAAAAAGGTGTCGATGAACTCCCCTTTCTTTCTCTCGGGATTTGATGTAGCGTCTAAACACTTAAATCCTCTCCAGAAATAGCCTCTGCGCCGCCCAAGCTGTCGGCCCACGTAAATCCCTGCAGTCCGTACACCTTGGCCCCCTCTCTCTCTCTCTCTCTCTCTCTCTCTCTCTCTCTCATCCCCTCCTCCCTCTAAGTAGCCCGATAGCTCGCCATTGTGCCACCCCCCACCCCACCCACACCTTCCCTCCCCCCGCAGGGAACCTCACAGCACCTCACAGACAGCCAGGATTAGGTAACTCGACCTACGGCAGAGCCCGCAGCGGCCTATAAGCTTTCATTTCCGTGAAGGGGCACGTGCTCTCAGGTGCTCCCTTGGTACCTTGCTGCCGTGCGTAAAGCGCACTGGCCCGTTCCCCGGCCCTGCTCCCTGCACGCGATACGGGCGCACAGAGAGAAAGCATCCACCTGTGCTTATTTTTAGTTATTTATTCATTTTTATTTTCATTCTTTTTTTATTTTAGGTATGGAGCTGTATTTGACTGCACTGTCACATTTGAGAACCTTAAAATAAGAGAATGTTTTTAACTTTAAAGATATATATAGCCTATACTGTGGGATTCCTCTCTGTGCTTCAGGCATCTTGTTTCTAAATCCTTTACCTGATTGAATTGGCCTCAGTATAATTGAAACTGAGATATGTACATGTTCAAATTATTTTCTACAGTATTCTTTCCATTCAATGTATTGAACTATTGCAAATTGTCCCTCGTGCTTCTTTTCTGTGACTACAGTCCACAGTTGAAATTCTAACTATTTTGTGTTGCTAGACTCAGTTTAGTAGGTCCTTCATAATATGGTCACAAAGAGCTTTTCAATCTTTCTAACAATCTACACCATTTATTTGACTCTCTCTTATCCAATCACTGATTCCAAGCTGTTGACTCAACTCTGAACCAAGCTGACATTTGTCCTTGACGTATGAATTAAGAGATTAACTTGGAAGTGAGAACCAGGAATGCTCGCTTTGCAGAATAGGTCATCTGAATTTTAGCTTTCTGAATCAAGATTCAAAACTGAGCACTTTTCTTACTGAGTTAAATTGGCTCCCAGACACGCTCAGCCCTTTCCTCATCGTGCGAAGAGTGCAACACAGAGAAGGTCAGCTAGCTTGTAAGGATTACAACGGATTTTCTTTAACTCGGGGTCAGTCATGAAAAGTCACTGCAACAGATAGCAGATATGGTATATGGTAGGAAACATGTGAAAAGGGCTCGTACATCTTTTTATCTATTGTATTGCAGAGAAAGAAATCTTCATGTGGACATCTTCTGGATATTGGGAAAGAAACTGGTGTTGAAGAAGAAGGAAATGTTGTGAATTGTGTGTGAGACTCTGCGTGAGTCAGGGGAATTGAAGGTAAAAAGGCAGCGATAAAGATGAAGAGAAGACAGGAAGAATGAAGAGAGAGGCCCGCTCAGACAAAAATAGTCCAAGAGAGCCAGAGATATTAATAATTCAAGAGTGAGAATCATTAATACTTGATCAGTGTCGGAGACTGTTAGAACCCCTGCTTACAGTAACTAATAGAGCATGTGTGTTTCATCATTGTGTAGTTGTTATTTCCCAGTCTGCTTACTGTTAATTTTTTTAGCTGACTACTTTAATAAAAGGTTTGTTGGCAGGAACATAAAGGCCAATCTAAGTCTTTTTGTCACTTGATATGTTAGTATCCATGCCATTTTTAAATCTCCACAGGATGTAGACCTTATGAAGCTGCAATAATGGTTGCCTCAATAGCTTTAGTGATCAAATGGTGCTTTTCTTTTATTTCAGAATTGTGATCCTCATCCCTCGTGAGTTGATAAGAGTGGTAACATTGTGGTTTAGGACAGAGTTCGTTCAAGTACACAGAGGAACAAAGTCTCACACAGCGAATAGAATACACCTGAATTAGATTGTAAGGTTGGCCTATACGTAAGTTGGATATACAAAGTGAGACGAGAGATTCTGGGGTGCGTATTGACTCACATCGGTATAAATCTCTGCTGTCTCTCTGCACCTCCAACTATCTAATGAGGACAAATTACCAAGATATAAAATCTATATAAATAAGGTAAATAAAGTTCAAGGAAAACAAGATATTCCAGTTCTGATGTGTCTTGAAATCTTACAGTTAGCAGTGGAGTTTTTCTACCTTACTGCAGGCTACATAACAGCAGTTAAGCTAAGCTCATTGCACGCTATGACAATATTGTGTTTACATGACGTAGTTAAATAGATCTTATGGTGAGGGCTTGTCTAACAACACTAAAGAAAAATTAAAGACATTTCAGATGGGTTCTGTGTTTGCTGTACAGTGAGTGAGCAGTTTTGGGGGGGGGCTCTCACACACCTTCAGGCACAGCATCCTGATGCAGAGGAGATACACTGTACACAGCAACTACATTTTCTACTCACTGATTCAAACACGGCAGACCATTCAATCCAATACATCAGTGGTTCCCAGCCTTTTTCCTTGAGGGACCCCTTTTTCTTTATCATTGAGTCAACCGACAGCCCCTCACTAAGGGACATATTTGAGGGATATTTCATATTATATTCAATATATAACAATAACAATACAGAACAACTGATAAATTGTACAATCAACCTAAATAGTGAACTCAACAACTGCATGAAGTTTTTTGATTTGCATGAATTTTGAGCAGATTATTAAGTATGGCATCAGAGATGAGTTTCCTGTATTATGTATTTCTTTTCTATTTTAAAAAGAAACTATTTAAAAGCCCCTAAAAGCCCCCTTAAAGCCCCCCCTTTTTTTTGACAAATTCAGTGTTTTATTCTATCTGATGCATGGCCATTTTTTATTAGCTCTGGTTGTTTTAACTGCACACTTTTCTAATGCATGACAAGGCCCTTTAGTAGAAAGTGAAAGCTCTGTAAAAAAGGAACCACTGCAATAGAAGCTGCTCACCCACCAAAAAAATGTATCTATCATTACCTCCTTCTATGTATTTTGCCTTATCACTTACTTCTGGTTCACAGTTAATTTCAGAACGTTTGTCACTGAGGAAGTTTATATTTATTATATTTTATAATTAATAAGTGTATATGATGTAAATCCCACAGCAGTGTGACATCCAGTCTATACTTGCTCTTCCTCTTCCAGACTTTCATCCCACCCATGATGAATGTTCATAATGGCCACTGTAGGAGTGCTGTTATTAATGGGTGGCTATGGTTCATTTTTTATCCAGTCAAATCTGATCTTTTTCTTTCTTGTACAACCAGCTGTAAAATAAAGTATAATATAAAATACACCCCCATCCCCCTCTTCCAAGCTTTATTCATGCTCTGCAACATTGGGGGTTGTACTTTGGCTAAAAGCTGCAGGGCTGAGTTGACTGAAACTCTCATGTATTGTATATATCTCTCAACGGTGGTTATAAATTACATTTACCAGGCAAAGGCCATAGCGATATATGTTTTTAACTATGATAACCTAAGTATGTATAATAAATAAAGCTGATATATAAAAGGGGCTCTGTGCTCTGGACCTGCAGTGCTCAAGTCTCGAGAACTCAGCATTGCACATGTCATGTTTAATAGATGATCCGCAGCGTTTAGATACATATTTGATGCCTGCTAGACTGGAGGCTGGCAGAGGTCATGGTTTCTTAGCAAGCCATATGCATACAGGTTACAGACAGGAGCAGAAAAAGAGGATTTAACCTTGTTTGGAAGGATAAGAGGAGCTTTCTTCAAACATTGTTGCCTTGTACTCGCATTGTATTCTTCACTGTGGGCCGGTTCTGTCAGGAGATGAATGTCTGCAAAAAAACATAAATATCCAGTATATTAACACCTTAAGGAGACAGGATAAGTCAAAGTAATGTCAGTGAGCTCCAGTGGTTGTGGGCTGACAAGAAAACTGTGCTGACTGTTTCTTGTTAAGATGCTGGAGTTACCGGTCAAATTGACAGCAAGAAAGATTGTCTGAACATGAATCATGCACTTCTATCAAGCCAAGTTGTCGGTCTACAAGCCCTTCAGGACAGGATCTGTTTCCACTGTGGCAACCAGTGTTGGGTGTCTCACTTACCGACCGATTTCCCTGAAAGAAAATCCACAATATAGAAAGAGTGAATGTTAAGTCTTTTGAGGGCTCAATAACTGTTATAGAGAAGAACACTACACTGATTTTGGGTTTTTTTTCCTGAAATGTCTAGTGTGTTTTGATGTGTACTGTCAAGGTTGGGCCATATTTATAAAAATGTTTGTAGATTTACACTTGAACTTAGTCTTAGATCATTTCTGACGTTGTTCTTCTATTCATAAAAGATACTGAGCACAAAAAACTTTGCTTACGCAGGTTCTAAGAAGCCCATTTGTAACCTACACACCTGTGATCTATACATCTCAAATTAACTTAATTAACACCTGCCTTACAGTCAGCGATTTCCCCTTATACAATGCTAACACAGTGTTTAGTCAGGAATGGTTACTTCTTTCTAATTTGACACTATAGAACATCGTATGCTGTTTTTAATTAACACGTTGGATCTGGCAATTCATTCCTCACACTTTTAATTGATTATTCCAATCTCAGGCTTGAGCACGTATGCATCCCAAACTGCAATGCCCCTACATAACCAGCAGGAAAATGACTTACTTACGTCAAGTCTAGACTTTACTTAGAGATTTATGCATAAATCAGTTTATTAAATAGGCCCATTGTTTCGGTGGCAAGCTATCTTTATAGGGCAAGGGTTGCTATACAACATTGCAAAAGGTTTAAAATGATTGGTAGCCCAGACAATCATGTCAAACCATCACAAGACAAAGTACAAATCTTTTGGTTACATTACACTATTAAAAACAGATTTATTTCCTTTGAAGACAGTTTAGATCATATATATTTCTGGTAGAGGACCAACCAAGTGACTGTCTTGAGTCTAAACATTAATTTACATACTACATTTTCGATTCACTCCTTCACAGAGCTCTTGAGAAGAAGCAGGAAAATGGTGAGACCATCGAGTTGTCGGCGGAGGGCCGGCCGGAGCAGGTGGAAGAGAAGGAGATGCCTGTGGTGGACTGCACATGCTTCGGCCTGCCCAGGCGCTACATCATCGCCATCCTCTCTGGCATCGGATTCTGCATTTCCTTTGGTATCCGGTGTAACCTGGGCGTGGCCATCGTCAGCATGGTCAACAGCCACACCATCTTCAGAGACAACAAGGAGGTCGTAGTGGTGAGTGGCGGCAGATGAGGTGGGAACAGTGGTCTAAGTTTGTGGTATCTTGACCTAAATGACACAGTCAACAACAGTAAGGCAAAATAAATATTATTATGTTGTGTCTTTAGATTATTTATGTATGACATGAGTGATGGATCAACACACACCGTACAGCCAAAAGAGCTAAATTCCAAATAAGGAAAATCTTAATTTTACAATATACAAAAAAACAACAACAATGCACTTCCAAGTTTGCATGAGTTAGGGAAAGGTCATTGCTGTTTTCAAAGCAAGATACACAAGAACGTGTTTTACAGCGTCAAAACTTTATTAATGTTAAAAATATTTGTTGAATAGAAATTGGTTGGTCAAACAAAGGACTGGATCATCATAAAGTCTCTCAGTTGATGTTACAGTCAGTTGAGTCAGTTGTTAAAGGTTTGACACAGCTGATATGAGGGCATATTGGTGATAATTCTATTGGTGGCTGAGCATATATTACCTAGTAGGACCAGTGATCAGTCGTATGAATTCTATTGTTTTGATTGGTCTTTCCTCAGTTTAGAGGCTTGTTAACCCACCTACATCTAATGGTACGGTATTAGACGTTAATGCATTTCAGGGTTCAAACTCTAATTCAATCATATGATTGATCTTTTTCTCATGTTCTTGTCTCCCTGTGTGTTCCAACAGAAAGCTCAGTTTGACTGGGATCCAGAAACAGTGGGAATGATCCACGGCTCCTTCTTCTGGGGATACATAGTAACCCAAATCCCAGGAGGGTTCATTTGTCAAAAGTTTGCAGCAAACAGGTCTGTTAATCCACTATTTATGGTATGGAAAGAATACTTGCACATTCTTGTATATATACTGAATGTCTCTTCCTCTCTCCATTCACTCCTCCTCCAGAGTGTTTGGCTTTGCTATAGTGGCCACGTCCTGCCTGAATATGCTCATCCCTGCAGCAGCACGGATGCATTTTGGCTGTGTTATCCTTGTCAGGATTTGTCAAGGACTTGTGGAGGTGCTCTTGTCTATTAAACACAAGCAATGAGCAAGTTACACTTTGTTTAAAACATTTATCATGGTGTAATTTCTTCTCTATCCTACAGGGGGTTTCATATCCAGCCTGTCATGGTATTTGGGCAAAATGGGCACCACCTCTTGAAAGAAGTCGCCTGGCCACCACAGCCTTTTGTGGTGAGTCTATTATCACAGGAGACTGTTTGTCTATCTTTAAACAATGAATGTTTGCTATCATTTATTAATAGTTTAATATAGCCACAATTCAAATCAATTAGTTGTTTAGTTAACTATTTTCAGAATTGATTAAACCCCGTTTTAAAGCAAAAATGCCAAACAATTTGTCCAATCTTTGGGTTTTTATGTAACACAAGCAATCTGAAAATGCATTTTATACTATTTTTGTGACAAAATCCGTGCCAGATTAAGTGACACAATATACAAATACAATGTCCTAAACACAATGCTTCTCTTTTTTCTAGGTTCTTATGCTGGTGCTGTGATTGCCATGCCTTTAGCTGGAATCCTAGTCCAGTACTCAGGATGGTCATCAGTCTTCTACGTCTACGGTAAGAGACCCTTGACCTTTGGGCTGGAGGTCAATTAAATCAAATGTAGTTTACAGTGGGGCTACTTTTTTTTTAGACACACACTGTAACTTGGGAAACTACACAAACATACACATCAGAAGTACTGCTGATTTCAATAGTTGTGTAGACACACCCATCTCTATGCACAACATACAATAACACATTAGATGCTGACACATACTGAAACTGAAAGGACAAGATGACTGCAAAAGGCCAGCACCATAAATAGGAGAAACAGAAAAAAACCCATCACCTATTATGTATGAATTCAACATTTAATCCTTGCCCATACAGAGGCAGCAGCTGCAGTCAAGGTGTTTCCTTTGCAGCGTGTTCTTTTTGACATTTCCTTCCAGTCTTGACACTTACATTACTCTTTCTCTCTCCTCTGCCTGCTTGCCTGCTTGCCTGCTTGCCTGCCTGTCTTCCTTCCTCACCCCCCAGGAAGTTTTGGGGTCATGTGGTATTGCTTCTGGTTCCTGGTGTCATATGAAAGTCCAGCAGCTCATCCCACCATCACTGAGGAGGAGAGAAAATACATTGAGGAAAGCATTGGCGAGACGGCCCAATTTACAGTAACGGTCAGTACATACGGACGATTTCTCAGGTACAATGTGATTCAGCCACTGTATCACGTCACGTTGGTTGACCAGTATTGATGTGACCTGCCCTGCAAAGTGATGGTAAACAAGCAAAGCAAAGCAAGAGTAAATAGGAAGTAAACCTGGGTGGAGCTCAAGAGGGTGTTACTTTATCACAAGCAACAAAAATAAATTTAGAAACTCCACATTAGTGATAATCTCTAATCTGCTTTCATGCATTCAAGCAAAACTATCAATTTAGCCCACCCATACTTTTTGCGCGCAATGTCCTTGTCACTCATACTTACGTACTAATGAAAATAGGTAAGCAAACAATTGTGCATGTATGTTGGTAAAACAAGTCAGAGGCTTTAGAATTTCAATACAAAATCAGCTAAATAAGCACTGTATTTTTCTGTGTTACAGAAATTCAACACACCGTGGAGGGCCTTCTTTACGTCCATGCCAGTGTACGCTATCATTGTGGCTAATTTCTGCAGAAGCTGGACTTTCTACTTGCTGCTTATCAGCCAGCCTGCATACTTCGAGGAAGTGTTTGGGTTCGAGATTAGCAAGGTAACAGAAACCAGATGTGGGCGGTAAGTTCCCATACACATAATACCGTGACACTGCTGAGCAAAGGCAAAGCTATAGAAACTTTCATTTCCAGGTTTATTCAGGTGATTATATCCATATCCATAGATGTCTCAGACCTGTTACATAAAAATAAATGTTTTCTCTCTCATCTAGGTGGGCATAGTTTCTGCACTTCCCCACCTTGTCATGACCATTATCGTGCCCATTGGTGGCCAGCTTGCTGACTATCTGCGCTCCAACCACATTATGACCACAACTAACGTCAGGAAACTTATGAACTGTGGAGGTAAGAAAGGCCCAAAATGAACTGAAGGTAAAATTAGAAATGCATAAGAGGGAACACATAGCCGCAATAATCTTCTTCTTCCAAGAGATCAAAACTTTAGTCATGTTAGTACTGAAGTTTTTCTAAGCACCCTATTTTTAGTCATAAGGCGTCAAGCGAAACTGACAAACTGCACAGTAACCCATTGGCTAAATATGGGGTTAACTACAGTATTTAGTAAGCAGTGGAGAGAAAACATTTGCTGCATAAGAGAAATGATGACTCACTGTAAAACAGAAGCTCTGTCTCTGTCGGCTATTTTTAAACTACAGAGAGAAATCAATAGCAGTGAAATGAAGAAGCATACAGTGTACGTATCACTTTGTAGGAAGCTGTCAATACTGGAGCAACTTTAGGTTACTGTTCAGTCAACAGCATTCTTTGAAAAGGGAGAAGAGAATAGAAGATGAATAACAATGGCCTTCAGTTGACTTACATAAGCATCTTGCATTGAAACTTATTGTTTCCTATAACACATAAAAGTATTTTTTGTTTCATGTCTGTGCTATTTCACTTGTCTGCATCAGGGTTTGGGATGGAGGCAACCCTGCTGTTGGTAGTGGGCTTCTCTCATACGAAAGGTGTTGCTATTACTTTCCTGGTTCTGGCTGTGGGTTTCTCAGGCTTTGCAATTTCAGGTAAAACCACATTTTTGTTGCACGCATTAACACTGTCTCCAAATACAAAAACAAACTTTTCAGCCACAAATGTTTAAGTGGGGAGCAGAATTTGTAGGGCTTGTGAATAAATAAACAATTTCCTATCATTTATTTGCTAATATTGTATTTATCCTTCCTCTTAAGGTTTCAATGTCAACCACCTGGACATTGCGCCGCGCTATGCTAGTATCCTCATGGGTATCTCCAATGGTGTGGGCACTTTGTCTGGTATGGTTTGCCCACTTATAGTTGGTGCCATGACAAAGCATAAGGTGAGAACTTATGGTGTAAAATACACCCCAAAACACATGTCTGTTCTTATTTTGTGTTTTTCTTATTACCATGGATTATTACCATTATTGAGCAAACATGCCTGCCGCTGTGTACATAAACAGCGCACCTCTAACTGAGTTTGGTCATAGAACATGTTTCTGTTATCTAAAACAACAGCAGAGGTGTCACTTCCTCAGAAAGACTTATTTTCAATTTTACCATTTTGCACATCCAGTAGTTTTACATGGAGAAATGTATCACTTAAAGGTAAGGTAAGCGATTCTGGAGAAATCCAATATTCCGATAAATACCATGATATAGTGAGATCAAGTAATGTAACTAATGTTAACTATGCTGTGGGTTAGCACATTGTTGAATCCAGACGATGAGAGGTTTTCCCAGAGAGAGAACACACCACCTCCAGACAGCATTACTCACAACTCTCCTGTAGCTAACATCACAACAACAGCATATCCTCGCAAACTAGAAAGTAAGCTAGTAAGGGCAAGTAACCCTGGCTGGAATGGCTGGAATAACAAGTTAGGGATGGAGAGTGTAAGCACATTAGAATCCAATAAATGTGCAAGGCTCTCTTTGGTTGGTTCGATTTAATGGGTGAATATCATTAGAACTTTAGAATATAATTAATAAAAGTCATAATGGAAAATACAGCGCACAATTTTTTTCATGCTTATAACCTCTCTTCCTCTTTTTTTTCTTCTCACCCTCCTTTGATAGACGCGGGAGGAGTGGCAGGGTGTGTTTCTTATTGCCTCGCTTGTTCATTATGGAGGTGTTATATTCTATGGTGTGTATTTTCCTCCTTTCATTTCTTTCAACTCCTGCAGCTACTGCTTCTTCAATAACCAGAGCATTAGTGTGTTCAAGTATGCAACAATGTGAGCATTGTTACCTCCGTCAGTAATGTTAGGTTTTTATTTGTCTGTCAGTGGGATTAAAGAAAAACTACTGGCCAGATTGTAATGACACTTGGTAGAAGGATGTAGCACAGGCCAAGAAAGAACACATTAAATTTTCTGCCCTTCTAGTCCTTCATGCAATCTTCTGTAGATTGGGTTAGGAACTGAAATGTGCAAAAAATACAGATGGATCTTGTCTGTCTCTGTGCTGCAGGCCTCTTTGCATCAGGAGAAAAGCAAGCTTGGGCGGAGCCAGAGCAGCTGAGCGATGAGAAATGTGGAATCCTGGATGAGGATGAGCTCGCAAACGAGACAGAGGAGCTGTATCGCACGAGTGGCGGAGCAGGCTACGGAGCCATGAACCAGGGAGCGGATCCCAATGGAGGCGGAGGCATGGGAGGAGGAGGAGGAGGAGGTTGGGTCTCAGACTGGGACAAAACTGAGGAATACGTCCAACCAGCTGGAACCAATAATTACCTTTATGGAGGAGAGGGGGACCGATAGTTAACATAAAACCAGCAGACCCTCAGCTCATAGCCTTTAGTGAGGCAGAAACAGTACATCAACAGTCTGGAGTTTCACCTGATGGCATGAAGAACTTGAGAAAGTGAGGATTTAAAATGGAATGCGGGAGGGGACCATTTTCAGCAAGTCTGACTGTATTATCATAACTGAACTGAATTCAAAGAAACTCCACAATGAAGGTGAAGACATTAGTAAATGTAAAATGTGTGTTTGTGTGTGATTTCAATTGTGTACGTTGTGTGACAGACAATCTAAGTAAGAGTGTTTTAGGACTCATCGGCCAATCTCTCTTGGAGGAGGGCCGTGTTTTAGGCCTGGTGTGGCTTTCTTTGATGTTTATTCATTGTAATAATTGTAGAAATTTCTATATTATCTGACAGGATTTGGATTTTATTTGTATGCCTCTGACTTATATCTGAATCATTCAAGATTACAAATCTCTAGGTGCACATTGGTCACAAGCACATTTCTGTTGTGGGTTTGTTTTATTGGTTTTAAAAATGTTTCATAAACGGTTGTAGAATTTGCACCTCCACTGAAGTTAAAACAGGAAATGACCAAAACTGGAGCTACAAGGTTTTCAAACAATGGTACACAATTCCTAAAGTTTTTTCCTTAATGTGCACACTTTTAAGAAAAAGCATGTTACTTGTGCCAATACAACAAAATATCTTGCTCTGTAGTATTGGTTTACTCATCTACTGAGAAAGTAATTGAACACCTGCAAATATTACTGCACACAGCTTTCTGTGAGGTCTAAATAGCCCATACTGACATTTGTAGATGCAGAATTTTGATTTCCTCAATTTTTTTTATGTAATAGGCCTCGAACCTGTCTGCCTGCTGACAAACTTGGGGAATAAAAATGCCTCGTATAGGACTAGAAGGAATGCGATTATCCAGGGTAATAACAAATCCCCTATCAAATTAGTTGCATAGCATAGAGCCACTTCCATTTCTATCAGGTCTCTTTGAGACTGTTCTCTTCAAAATCCAACATCTGAATTATTTCAATATGCTTACCATGTAATATATGCTTCATTAATGTTATATATATATCATGTTACTGTTATGTTTAGGCAAGTCATGCTCTGAGTGTAAACATCAGGAAGAGCACCATATATCCTAAGAACCTCAACAGTTTCCAGTCTCTGCTCTCTGTCGCGGCGGCAAAGCAGAAAAAACACTGAGCCGAGGCTGTTGTGTGGTGCCAGTTATGTAGCAAATGTCAAAATGAAAGAAAATGAGAATGTTAGACACGTAGAGCTCAGTCGATCTTGTTTAAAGGTACACTTTTGTTACCCTTCGCTTTATTTTATTGTGCAGCAAGCTGAAGATATTAAATGATCAGTAAACAAAAGACTGATTAAAAATAAAAGTCTGATAATGGACAACAAACAATGATGTTTCACTGTACATGAGCAATTATTTTTTATTTTTTGGTAGTATATGTAATGTATCTAGCTAGCCCCAAAATTAAGGTTTGAAGATGAAAAATATCCCTGTGTTAGATCATGGGTGGAGTTCAGTGACAGAGTAAATATTTAAATGTAAAGGTTTTTTTTGTCATTTTTCATTATTTATTGTTAAATGTTTCGTTCTGGATTGTAAACTAAAGCTGTATATGTAAAAATCATGTACATGTGGAAAATATTGTATAATAAAACCTAGAGGTGATCATTCTTGTACAATAATTATAGATTGTCTTGCCATGTAATGCTTATGCATGCTAAAAAAAAAAAAGGTAATTACAGTGATTACTTTTAATGTTTTTTATTATTATAGCATCTCTTTCATCTTTTTTTAAGCCAACTTTCCTCTACTCCATGCATGATTCAGGCACAAATAATGCTGGTCTTTATGCCTTTGGATACGGTGGTTTCATGTTACCCATAATGCTGTACTCCTCTCTAGACAGCATATTGATCATGAGCTAAAGTATAAGAGCATGGAAGTGAAGGAAAAAATAGATTTTGATGGCACCAGAGCAAGGGATAGCCTCACTGTCCTGCTCTGGTCTCTAAAATCAATAGGATTATCCTGCATCCATCTGCCAGTGGGCAAATATTAGTTATTTGGATGTAACTTTAGTTATATGAGTGCCTGTGTAGCCTTCTAAAGGACTTTGGTATTGGTTTACCTGAGTGTCAACCTCTGGGGCTAGAAAATAAAACCAACACTTAAGTGCCCAAAACTGCAGTTCCTCAAACGGCTACTTGAGGCCACCTCCACAAGTGAGTCAATCTCCATAAGGCCTCATATTAAGACTTACTTAACAAAAATAAACATGATCACAGCATAGTACAAGAAACGGTTTTGTTCTCTATAGCTAATTTCCATAGTGCCTTCTTTATTGTGGAAGACAAAATAAGGCCACACTTCAGCTCTGTACACTGTGTAAGCCGGTCTAATTTATTTGGATTCAGCCATTGTAGCAAGGTCTTTTCAGATGGAAAGCGACTGACATGCCTCGCTGTTGACTAATTCTAGGACTGTGTTTACAGGCAGCATGTGCTTATTTCTTTCTGTCTCATCATTGGTTCAAATACTTAACGTCAATTGTCGAATATTAATAGATGTTAAAACAATAAACCGGAAAATAAGGTAATCAACCAACATAACCTAATGATTTATTAATCCAATGTTACTATTTCAAAGACAGTATATCAATATTACCTCATTAACTCATTTGTCTTCAAGTCTTATATTTCCGCAGTAAATTCGTCCACCCATGTTCTCATTTTGTAAGGATTTTCTCTTTCTCTGTGGCCTTATAACATCTTCAGCCATCAGATAAACTACTTGGTTTTAAATATGGACACTGTAAGCTGACTAGCAGACAGCGTGGTGTGGACCAAGAAGTAAAGGCCATGGCCTTACATGACTAATGCAACAAGAGGCTCACTGTCTGAAACACAAGAGATTTGCTCCATTCAAAGGTACGTAGTCATAGAACATTACACCTGCCTTTTTCTGTAGGTCTAGTTGTAACTGCAGCGCCAGTGCTAAACTACCATGTACTTCCTATTAAAAAAAAGGCCAATCAGTAAACTGTATGTGTAAAGCTTTCAAAGCATTTATTCAAGTATTTATATATATTTTTAAAATATTGCCCACTTTATGTCTAATTTCAGAGGAAGCATCTCTTGGAACCAACAAGAGCCCAGGTCTATTTAGGTCTATTTAGGTCTATTTATTTATAATTAGTTATATGGAAATAATGGTAGGTTTTTGCTCATGATGACCAACAGTCCCCAGAAGTTGAACTGGGGTTTCCCGGTCGTGTTTCTGAACTGACTGCACTGGTTGTTGTCATTCTGCTGTAAAGATTGTCAAAAGACCAGTTTTGTTGACTTGTTTCTTATATAAATTTTGATACTTAAAGGTAAGGTATTAAAAAAAGAAAGACAACCAAGTTTAGTCAAAATACATTTATTTCAGCACATTAAATACAACAGGAATGAAGCTTAAGAATCTTAGGCAACTGCATTTGCACTGCAGATTAAGCTCATATATCTGATCAACATATGCACTGTAATATAAAGTACAATCTATTCAGTAATACAGCATTTCTTATGTGCACAAATATAATATTACAAAAAGTATTGGTATGGCAAATACATTATAAGATACAAAAGTCCAATCAGGAGGCTTTTCCCCATCACACTATGACTTTACAAGGAAATATTTTAAAAATAAAAGTTCACCCTTTACCCATCACTGAAAGCAGATTTATGATAGTTTGATGAAGCACAAACACAAAAAAGTTTGATTGAGTTAAATGAATACATGTGTAATGCTGTTATTGTGAGTATATGTAAATCTCTTTCCCTTCATAGCGGAGTCTTTTGCTCCTCTGCTAAATTCTGTTCCTTCACTATTCTTTTTCCTTCCCTACTGCTTCTTATTCTCCCTCTACCTCTCCTTTCATTCCCCCTTTCCTCAGTGCTTCATATCCACCTTCTCCTCCTGCTGCCCCTCCACCCCCAGGGTGTGGTATACCCCTTCTTTCATGCCCTCTTTCC